AATATTATTTTTTGCTGCATTTAATGGCATATTAATTTACTTATTGAGTCATTATATATATCTCTATATACATGTACGCTTTATTGATACAACTGTGCATATTCAGATATTATGATTTTCTTTTTGACAGGTGACACTTTATCTGTTGTTGCCAAAATGAGCAACTTCTCTTCCAAAACAACGAGGCCCAAATTCAGTATAGTGCAGAAAATACTGTACCGCGCCAATGTTTCCCATAAGGCCAGCTACCAAAGTCTGTACAAAATGGTTGGAGAGATTCTCCCACAGAACTCAGAGCAAACTGTCTCCTGCCAACTGAAGGTTCCTGTCGATGCCGTCAACACTGTGCATAATTGTGAAATCCTCTCGGTTGACCATTACGTGAAGGTATTTAATAATGTAATAGTGATGTTACATCAACTCAGGAGTTAATTAATTGCTTTAGTTTGCAAATATTGGTGGTCATTAATTATAACAGACGATTCTTGTCTTAAATAACACACTTGAACAGTTATTAGAAATATAAAGCAACTTTGAAATTAGAGTGTATGATGCTGTTGAAACATTTGCAGTATAATAATCGTGTGTATCTGTCAGTACAATCAACCTAATTAATAATCCATAAATGGCAGTTTTATTCAAATGATTTCTGATGTAGACAGCTTTTACTTCTTGATATATTTCTGTTTCCCAGGTGTATTTGGACATCAGTTTCGCCATTGACCCAGAGGTGCTATTTCCACTGAACATCGTTCCTTCTGGCTTTGTTAACCTTCACTCTGGTCAGGCTATGGGCCCTTACCCAGCTGGAGCTATTGGGGCCCCAGGTTATAGTGACTTCCCTCCCCCTGCCTTCCCTACTGGTCCATATCCTATGCCCGCAGGTCCAGGTGCTTATGGATACCCAGCACCAAATCCCACTCAGCAGCTGAACCCAACAAGTGGCTACAATCAGTGGCCACAACAGCCTGCTCCGTATGGCTATCCAAATGCAGCTTTCCCACCAGTGCCGTATCAAGCCCCTACTGCTCCACCTATGTTTCAACAGGGAGAACAACCTCCAAATTATATGTCCCTTTTCCCCCCTTCTAATGGCACTTTCAATACGACTGGGTCAGATCACAAAAGCTGAGCTTTAAAAGGGAATATGAATGGGATCGAGAGATTCACCTGTCAGTGTACAGCGGAGGAGTTTAGAGAAGGGGAAGTTATATATTGGCTGGGTGTGTTCTGTTCACATCCTTTGTCTGACTCCATGCTGCCACACACCAGTATGTTTGTCCGTAATGATTCTGTCAATTTATTTTCAATTACTTATTGTTTATATCCTTTGAGTTATATATGCAATGCGTCCTAATTAAAATGTAGCGTATGTATCTGACTTCCTAATAGATCATGATGTTTTGTTTTGGAGCTGTTATATCGACCTCTAAGTAAGGCAGAATTATATGGAAGCACATCATGCACTATGTTGGATCCACTTAGTGTGGCCTACTTACCCGTGAGATAAAGCTGACACCTGTAAGTAAGAAAAACTGTTTGAATTTAGAGCAGAAAGTGGTTGTATATTTTATCGTCCTGTATTGACTTTCTACAAGAATGATCTTGGTGAAGGCTTGAGAGATTTCTTCTTAACCCTAGTGGATGCATTAAAGTCCAGGTGACACGGAGTTAGAGAGCTATTTGCTTCCGCACATTTATGTATTTACTGTAAGAACAGGCAGCTGTGCAAAGAAATTACGTTTTTTGTTATTTTCTTTGGCATACATTGTTAAATAGGGGTACAATATAACTGAGGATGCAGTCTTAAAGGGTTAATATGACATTTTTCATTGCACCTGGAAGCTAACTTATGTACTTTTGTTTATTATTCTTAGTTTTGGTGTCAATTAATCAAGGAAATGTATGTATGTATTTGTTTATGCATGGCAATATGTTTGTTATTGTACAAAAAGCATTTGTTCCTCCATCCATTCATCTACCCACTCCCTCAATTAATAAATTATTAAGTGGCTCTTAGATCCTTGTGTTTAAATGTGCCCACCAATTAGAGGCTCTATGGTCCAGTCATCTGTAATCAAGCAAAATTTCATGTCAAGTTTAGTGTGTTGTGACGACCCCACTCCACCTTGTCTTCCTGTTCCTGGTTGAAAGACACTGTTCAGGTACTTTAAGTGGGCGTGGCAGAGGGTCGTCAGCAAACTGGACACACCTGAGGCCTGTGTGCCATGCGCTTTTAAAAACCCTCTGGGAGCTCAGTGCTCTCTCTC